TGGCTGACTGAGCATTGTCAGGTCCATGTGAGGAAGCAAGGCATGAAGAATGTGGAGAGGGATGAGGGGAAGAGGAGGAGGGAAGGCATGCTTATTTTGGAAGAACCTAAGAGCATCCTGATGTCACCTAAGGGGCCACCCAAGTAAAATTTTATGGGAAGCATTAGGGGAACGTTTGGAGGAGAAATAACAAAGTGTCACTGGAAGATTCACAGTCCCAAATGATAAGCAGATGGGTAGGGGAATGGCTCAGAAAGAAGTCTTTTGGGGAATTGAAAGGGCGGGAGTAGGAGGCAAAAGATAGAAATTAATAGAATACTACACTTGGATAAAATTGGTTTCTGAGCTCTCATTTCTCATCAAGTAAGAATATGTCAGACTTCATTTTGAAAGCTGCAGGCTAGCAAGTGTGCATGTGCATTCACACAGGGTAAGAGAGCCTCAAGTTGTCAAGCTGCTTTAGGTAAGGCCCAAACATGCATGTGCCATGGACTTGAGACTCACCCATTTTTCCTCTACTCTTCTTCCCAAGAAGGCTCCTGGAGTATGGTTACAAGACATACCTTAAGCCAGCTGTGACCCTCAACCACAGCTTTTAAGGAGACATGGACGTGAATGCTGGCTAGTCGAGAGTCTGCTTGTTTTTCCTCAGAGGCCATCCTATTCCTTAGCTAGGACAATGTTCTAGAGCTGTAATGAAGTTGATCTATTTTTCCAATCTAATCAGAACACAAACAATCCATAGCTCTCCCCGATAGGGTCTGCTGCTCTGAAACAGTGTCAATAGCTATTAACGAAGCTGATAAAATCTCTGCTCAGCTGCAGGCTGAGGGATGCAGTCACCAGTGAAACAGAACTGCCTTCCTTCCTGCCAGTTGCTCATGACCTCCATCGCACTCCACGTTCAAAGTCCTGGCCACCTTCCTTTTTCCTACCAGAGAATGGAGGCCACCTTCCCTACCAGGGTCTCGGCTCTTACACTGCATGCAAACTGGGACCTGCATAAGTCTTGAGAGTCTAGTACTGTTCCACACACTGTGTCCATGTGCACTGTAAACACTTTCTACTTTAGTAAGCTCCTCTGCAAACTTGCTTTAAAGGAAAGACCATGGTGAACTGCACCAGGAACTTCTGAGAGCCTACATTCCGGGGAAAGAGCTCGGTGGGAGTACAGGTGGAAGTTTTTATGGAGGAAAATTCTCCTGCTATTGCAAAGGCAGAGTTAAGAGTAGGGACCAGCTGGTGCTAAGCAGAAATGCAATCAAGTCTGCTGTTTGGGTACTGAGAGCCAGTGTAGATCACATCTCAGAGAGTTGGGCAGGGGTGGCGAGGACACCTATGAAAGAGCAGATCTATTTCCTAGTAAAACAATTTATTCAAAGGCTGCTTGCAACAAATTGCTTTCTCTCCATTTCCCTATGAGCTCCAATTTCCATCTCTGCAGGTTTTAATAGTCTTACCAAACCTTTAGGAGGAAAGCAATTGCAACACCATTCAATTACCCTCACTTTCTAACAAGGACCAGTAGTCAACCTTGACATGTCGATGTTAAACAGTATGAATCTGGAAGAAAATCACAATTGTGGCCTTGAAGTTTTGAAATTAAAAGAAGGAAGTGTTGAAGCAGAAATTCCAAGTTTAAGAATTGTTCCGATCTTCCTAAGGCTGAGTAAATCACAGAATGTTTAACACAAAAGGGACTTTACATGGTGCCTGAGGACACGTGGTCACATGGAGAACTGGCTCCCCAACCCACATGGACAGACGGGAAGTCTTTCAGTACTTAACGCTGCCCTCAACGCAATCTTGCTGATGGGCCTGGGGAGCCCACATCCTTTACAGTGTCTGTGAGTGACCTGTCATTAAGTCAGAATGGTGACCAAGATTTGCAGCTATCACTGGGCCTAGGTTTGGGTGGGAGAATCTCTGACTAGCAACTTTGTGGGAATATGTGGCAGAGCCCCGTGACTCCTGGTGGTACTGGGGGAGGAGGGGGAACGACACCAGGGCCTGCAGCACTACCTCACTGCTGGGCTGCAGTAGGGACAGTGGTTCATCTGGTGACCCAGGCATTCCCTGCCTTACTGCCTAGCTGCACAATCCTGTAGACTTTTCCATTTAAAGTACAAAGTAGCTGGCAACACTTTAGTCTTCTCTTGATCAGGCTTTTGCTCATCTCAGCCCCCCCTTTTTTTTTGCCAGTCTTGGGGCTTGAATTCAGGGCCTGGAGTCTGTCCCTAAGCCTCTCTATGCTCAAGGCCAGTGCTCTATTACTTCAGCCACAGCACTACTTTTGTCTTTTTCTGTTTATGTGGTACTGAGGAATTGAACCCAGGGCTTCATGCATGCTAGGCAAGCACTCTATCACTGAGCCACCTTCCCAGCACTGGGGCCCACCTCTTAATGAGGGCTAACACTGTCAGGACCTTCTGCTCAGTGGTCTGGATGAGACACTGGTCAGAAATCCAGAGCCCAGTGTGGCTGTGCCCGGCTGTGTGTCTTCTCTCATCCCTGGCTCTATAATATCTCCTAGTAGAAAAACAGCTAGTAGTTTACTCAGCCTTTTATGGGATTTATGAACTAGTAAGTGGGACTTTAGCCTCCTCACTTCTTGATGGAATTGTAAAATAAGCTTTGTTTTGTTAGGGAGAATAGGTTCAGAGAAATGTGAAATACACCGGTGGTCTTGGCAAACAACAAATGCATCTAGGTCTCCTTAAACAGGGCAAGGGCTGGCAGAGAATCAGGACAAGCCCAGAAGAGAAGCAAACACATCCCACAGTTGGGTAAAGGCATGGAAGGTTCCAGAAATTACGAATTAAATGGGCCTAGAAAAGAAACAAATTCATTGACTAGGTCCTAAGTCATGCCTGGTCTTCAGATTTTTAGAGGCAACACCCTGAGACATGCATCACCCTCACAGAGGCTGGGCTGGGCTGGGCTGGGGGTCAGCACACCCTGGAGGGATCTGCAAAGGACCAGTAGCTCCTGAAAGCCAAGCAGGCAAACTCCAGCCAGAGAATGTCTGCAGTGGCCCAATCATTGTTCCCAAAGGTATGGCTTGCTAGTTGAAAAATCTCAAATCAATGAGAACAGAGGGCGTGAAACCACAGAGATTGTTCATTCCCTTCTCTAGTTTCCTGTAACATCTCTACCAAGACAGGCCCGAGACCTGCCTTGCTGTGCTAGGGGGTGCTTGTGAGTGAAGAGGGCGGTTCGTGGCTACTGGGAGGACCCACAATATGACACTGGCCAAGAAGGAAAAAAGGTGTGGCATTGCCAATACCATGAGAAAACAGCTGGCTACCAGAAGGCCTATAACCACTCCCTCAGAGGTCTGCCAGCCAATGTAACTCTGAAGAAATGGTATATTGTTCTCTGGAAGAGACCAGGATTCACAAGTTTCTTTGTTTTTTTAAATAAAAGGACTGACTTAAGAGAAAGCACCTGAAACCTAGGGTGGTGTGTGCTTTCATGAGTTCTTGGTTAGAGAGTACGGTGTCATTAAGGGAGCAAAACTCCCTGGCAAGAAGCATCTATAGCACGCAAGGGTGTGTGAAGCAACAAGCAGAGTAGAGGCCAACCTGGGTTCTAAGAGCCTGCCTCCCACGCTGGGGAAGGCACAGGGACCTCAGGGAACTTTGTCACTCCTCCATCTGGCCTGTATGGAATGGGGGTGGCTCGAAATGTTTTCCTATTAATCTAATTTTCAGGTCCTGAGAAAGAGGCAGCAATCCCTTCTTCCTCCATGCCCAAGATGCGCCAAAAGAATCATTTAGCCAAGGCCTTGTTGACTTCCTTTCCTAGAATGAAGAAAATTATTATAGTGGAAGAAATGGAGCTGTTCATTCTCGTTCAGCATTCTGTGAGAACCAAGCTTGCAGTGAATGCCCCCTAATAATGCAAAGTCCCAAGGGAGAAGCAGCTTCTCTTGAAAAAAAAATGGGTGACTACAGAAGAGAGATTGTACACTCTTGTAGGGTCTTGTCAGAGGTGACATGGCTTCTATTCTGGAACTGAGATCTTGAATTACAGCTGCTGCTTTAAGAGCATGGCCATCGATAAGGAAATTGCATTTTCAGAAAGAAGCTAGCAGAGGTAGTATATGTTAAGAGAACAGACCACTATCCACACTGCGCATCACCAGCAACCCCAAATGAAGCGTTAAGTGACCTGTACACTCAAGATGAACCAAGGGATAAAACTATAAAAAGCAAATACTATCGCTGAGAACTAATGACTTAATTGTGTTGGAATTATGGAGCGCTCTGTCTGTACTGGGGCATGATATTCTCAAAGGCTGTTTTTGTCTGCAGGACAAAGATACAATAGACACAAATAGCTTGTCATGAGGACTTGGGGCATGGCTCAAGTGGTAGAGCACTTGTCTCATGAAGCTGAGTTCAATCTGCCAAAACTCTCTGGTTATGAGAACTGTCCAACTTTCACATAATAAATACATACCCACCCAACCACCAGAGGTTACTTGACCATGGGTGAAATATATGGTAGCGGGGCAGTCCCTGTGGAACAGCCGAGCGCCAGGCCAAAGGCCCTCTGGGCCGTGCCACTCTAAAACGCCACGACTCTCATCATGGGTTGGAAGTACCACATCTCTTTAAACCTCTATTTAGCAGTCATTTGTCCTGTTGGCTTCTAAGAAAGCAAATGACTCTTCCCTAAATCTCATCATCAGAAACCATCAAGTTTACCATCATTCTCACAGCACAGCTATAATGCTGCAGTGACCACAGACATTCTACTTTCACCACGTATGTCTTTCTACACGGCTTCCACTCCCCAGTCCAGCTTCCAACAATTTGCCTTTCCATTCCTCAGGCCTTCTTGCAATGACTTCATTCCTCAGTAATAGGTGTTAGAGCAGTCAGGAGCACGAAGCAGGAGATGAAGCAGCCTAGAGTTTTCGGAGGCTAGATTTTCAGTACAGAAAATCATTTTGCTGGGGAAGACAAATGGGAGATGTGAACAATGGTTCTAGCTTTTCAGGGAAAAGGGGTTATGATGCTGTCACCAAGTTACCAGGATGATGATAGTGATGGTTTTCTGGTCTCCAGAGTAATGATTTCCTATAATGTCCAAAGACGACTGTCAGGTATTCTGTTCCAGCTTGTACACCATCAGTTAGGAGGCAAGAGGAAGGGAGAATAAGACAGAAAGTACAGGAATAGGTGAGGTCAGGGCTATCTGAGCCTTGGAGAAAGGGAGGAATAAGGGCTAAAACTAGTCAGGGATGTTGGTTATGGATAGAAAAATCTGAAAATAAGTCAGTTTCTGAAGTGAAGCATAATAAAGAACCTTGAGGCAGTCATGGCCACCTAAGACCCTAGTAAATACGGCTGCAGAGGCAATTCTGCAGTTCCTTCCACATCCTCCCCTTTCTCTTGGCATCCTAGACAGGGTCCTGGACTCACCCACATCAGAGGGCACTGTAAAGGTCAGCGTAAAGGCTGTGGGGAGAAGCCTTACGTGTTTGGACCAAATCCAACGTAGATAAAGCAGCAGTGCGGCAAGAAGTTGGGGTCCACAGCTGAGCTCGGTTTACTCCACAAGGCCTTCTCCAGAAGGCTTGAAGGATCACAATCATGCTTCAATTAAAACTGTCATAAAATCTGGGGTGGGGGGCATGGAGGGCATGGAAAATCAAGAGTGCAGAGAGAAATGTACAGTGCAGAGGTGACTGAAGAGTTAAAAAAAAAAAGTCCTTCCACCCAAACATTTACTTCTTTTGGCTGGAAAGCCATGGCTGGAAAAGAGGGTGTGAGGCAGCAAATGCTCTCCCTCTCCTCCAAAGTCTGGAGCCTAATCTATTTGGACAGTTTGCTGATGACTCTGATGAGGGCACCATTTTCATCTTTCAGCCTCTGGTTGTCAGATTTCAGTTCTGTTAACACCTGTGGTGAGAGAGAGAAAGGTGTGTGAAAGCCTGGCATGACCGCCTCTCCTGACCAGGCAGCTGAGCGGGGCCCCCTGAGGCAGCATGGGTGATGAAGTGTCACCACCCTTCTCTCAGGACAAAATTCCCTTGAATCTTATTGACTAAACTGGTAACATTGACATTTAGAGGAGCCACAACCCTTCATCTTTTGAGCTAGTACACACATAGTAGTAATACAATATTTCTTTCTATGTTCCATGCTGCGCATTCTTCTATTCTATCAAGCCGGGAGTTGTTTCAGATTGTTTCTACCCCTTGAATGCGCCGCTAGCCTACAGAAACTGAGATGACTGCCAAAGTTGTCTGGTGAGGACATGCGGAAGGAATTCAGAGCGGAGGTCACTGTTTTATACTCATGAATAACAAAATGCAAGCTGAGGGGCAGAACTTGATTTAAGAATCCTCCTCCTGAAGCTTTCAGTGAACAGAATCCATCCAAATTCTCATCCATCATTTTACACACACACAACCTATGTTCAAATTGAAACCCAGTGAACTGCTGGCAGCTCATTCCAATAATCTCTGATGACTGAGATCTGAGAATCAACACCAAGATGCTTATTAATCAGCAAAACCTAGAATTGGAGGTGTGGCTCAAGTGGTAGAGCACCAACTGTGAGAAAAAGCTCAGAGAGGCGCTAGGAAGGTGGCTTAGTGGTAGGGTGCTTACCTACTATGCATCAAACCCTAGGTTCCATTACTCAGTACCACATAAACAGAAAAAGATGGAAGTGGTGCTGTGGCTCAAGTGGTAAGAGTACTAGCAAAGAGAAGCTCAGGGACAGTGCCCCGGCCCTATGTTCAAGCCCCAGGACTCGCAAAAAAAAAGAGAGGAAAAACCTAGGTGAAAGTGTGAGGTCCTGAGTGTGTGTGTGTGTGTGTGTGTGTGTGTGTGTGTGTGTGTATGTGTAGTTATAGAGTTGCAAGACAAAGGAAATACTAGGTATATATTTAATTTCCCCTTTGTTACCTAGAGATACAAGAGGCTGGGCACCAGTGACTCACACCTGTAATCCCAGCTACTCAGGAGGCTGAGATCCAGGATTGCAGTTCAAGTCCAGGCAGAAAAGTCTGTGATGATCTATCTTCAATTAACCAGCAAAAAGCAGGACTGGAGGCGCAGCTCACATTGTAGAGAACCAGCCTAGCAAGTTTGAGGCCCTGAGTTTAAGACCTAGTTACTCCTTAACTCCTTTCCCCCACCCCCACTACACTACAAAAGGGCCTTATAAGCCCTCTAAAGTTTTAGGGAATAGTGTGACAATTCCAGGAAATAGATATTTATGGAAGGAGGGGCCGGAGTTCTGTCACCTTGGAACAGGACACATTACGTTGTCCAACTTGTGGAACAGAAAAAGCAAGCTTCGGCTTAGAGATCCCAGTCTTCATTATGTGATCGGGTAGTTGGCAAGCATGTTATACATCTGCAATGGGCTGCTGATAAGGACCCGGTAGGATTTAGGTTAGAGGCTAAGTATATCTTCACTATGAAGGCTCCAGAAATCTTTATCTTCATCTACTCAGTGCAGATGTCCTCTTACTGACTGGTTACCCATACCTACAAGACCCCTGTGGCAGGCAAGACCCTCAGTTGTTAGGAAGCCTGTTTAGTTTTAGCTTTTGGCTCTACTATTCGACCACTTAGAGGCTCTAACTGTTCTTTAAGGACTATTATCTTTGTTTCCTCAGTCTTGCAAGCACGATGCAGATTAATCAAATGTGTGTGTGCAGTTATGCATGACAGATGCATAGAGAATTTGCATTAAGGGGAACAAAGGGAAAACACTATGAGTATTACGATGCAGGAGACACTCACTAGGCTCAGGAACCCGATACAGCTGCCATCCATATTTCCATAAACTGAACCAAGTCTTCCATAACTAGGTCAAGGCACCCAGCTACTTTAGTGGCAAAGCTGTGCCCAATTCCAAAGATCTGTCCTCCATCATAGATGGTATAAGGTCTGCCCTGGGCTATGCGGGCCTTGTACAGATACCTCCCTAACTCTTGCATAAGTTTCCACCCAGTATCTGTGTTACCTAGGTAACTGGCACATCTGGAAGTCGTCTCCCCCCCCCCCCCCATCCAGTGTGGCCACACCTTTTCCCCACCCGGCCATACCTCTTCCTGTCCATGGCCTAGATAAGGCCTGGCCTGGGAGTGGGTGGCCTCTTTCGGCCATGCCTCTCCATGCACAGTGGGGCGGAGGTGTGGGGGGATTGGGGGGGGCAGCAGTTCAGTAAATAAACTTATTTTCCTGTCTGAATACCACATGATGTTCTCTTCACCGGCTACCTAATGAAACCTACCTATTTAGTATAACTTACAGATGGGAGTGAAGATAGAAAACCAAAGACAGAAACTGTTACAACTTGGGAACAAATTCTAGTACTGTCATTGTTACAACAGGATCCACATTACTGTAGGCAAACCATTTGACTTCTCTACATCTTTATTTTTGTAGCTACGAACAAATAATAACCTGGCTCTACTTTCTCATGAGGTAGGGACTCTGGGAGGCTGATAAGAGGTAACATATGTGACAATGTGCTGATGTTCGTAATGTGCTTTGTGATACTGAGGATTCCTGTTACCACTCTTGAGTTTTCCCATGAATGTGGGAGGGTAGGCAAGTAATTTACTAAGATTCAATCCTGAAAATATCAAGTTTTAGTTTTTGACCCTGCCTCTCCTCCCTCCAACTCAATCAAGGCTACTCTGGCTGTCTTCTCTTTTATGCCTGTATTCCTGAAGCCTTGCTCTTTAGAACTGGGTGCTCAGAAAGTCATTTCAATAAAATTTTTTAGAAACAATCATTCCATGGTGGCCTCGTAGAGTCTTACTTTCCCTTCTTTAGTCCTAATCCTGGGGCCTGTAGCCTGGGTGGAGACCCTGAAAACTGGATCTTGGTAACAGGATTCCATGGGCAGGAGGAAGCTATATATGGCCATGGATCACATTTCACTGCTTAGCAGCTCATCAAATAAAAACTGAGCTGCATTTTTTAAATGTACAATTTGTTGAGCTCTATTGATTTATTTCCACATTAAAAACTCAATTCCTTGGGGGGAGAAAGATGGGCAAGGCAACTTCACAGCTGCAACATGCTACAATTGACATCTTAAGGGAGTGCCCAAAAGTACAACAGTGGAATGTAGAAATCAAGTGGGGGAGGGGTAAATCAACATTGTTATCTGGAATTCACTTGAAGTTAGAGAGATTAAAAAAGGACATATGTGACAACACTGGAATGTATGCAGCTTTGTAACAAGGTTTTATCATTTAAAACCTGAGCTTCTTCTAGATTCCTAGCATACCACAGTTTGGACAAATAAAATCAAGTACCTGTTTTCTCAAGTGTTACTTCTTAAATATGAGGATTGTTAGGGATGAAGGGGACATGGATGCTGGTGCTTTAGAGTGCTAGGGCGAGGCTAGCTGTGGGTGAGAGCGTCTCAGAATGAGTCTTGCTTAAGCTGTCTTGTCTTCCCAAATACATGGGAAGTGGGGAAGGAATCATCCCATCTACTCTGTTGGTAAGTGACTTGCACTACATATACACAATTTCTCCAGGGGGATTACTGTTATTTATTTTTGTTGGTCATGGGGCTTGAACTCTGGGCCCGAGTGCTGTCCCTGAGGTCTTCAGCTCAAGGCTAGCACTTACCACAGCGCCACTTCCACTCTAGGTTACATCCTGGGCCACTTCTGGTCATGCTGCCCATCTGACCACAGGAGGGTCCCAGGCCATGAGGTCACATCCAGACTCAATGTGGCCACACTTTTCCCCCACCTGGTGATAAGAGTTTCACAGCCTTTCCTGCCTGGGCTGGCTTTGAACTGCGATCCTCAGATCTCAGCCTCCTGAGATGCTAGGATTACAGGCGTGAGCCACCGGTGCCTGGCTTTATTATTTTTTAAAAGCCCAGCAGGGCAAAATTTCTTGATCCTACTGTCGGTTTGTTTTGGTTATCTTTTCCTGCTGTCAGGGGTTAGCAAATTTTTGTTGTGCAGGATCAGATGGCAAATCTTTCAGAGTCTACAGGTCATACCATCTCCATTGCAACAACTCAGTTCTACTGCTGTAGCATGGAAGCAGCCACTGATACATGACAATACAAAAACAAAAGAGCATGGCTCATTTTCCATAACATTTTATTTATGGACACTGAAATTTAAATTCCATATAATTTTCACGAGTCATGAAATATTTTCCTATTTATTTATCTCTGATTACTGGTAAGCTCACAGGCCACAGGAGTTTGCTATCTTTGCTGTAGAAAGTCTTATGCCAGGCAATGACATTCCTTACAACTGAATGTTCTTTGGAAGCTAGCCTTTCTGAGGATTGAAGTGCTGAGAAGGCAGAATGCTGTCCCTCATCCCTCAGCTGTAATGCTGGCATACACTGAACTTGCTCAATATACCCTTCCCAAATTGTTTAGGTTGTACGGTGCCAAGTATGTGGACAGCTCTATCACAGATGACGCTGAATTTTGGTTCCTTTGTTTGTTCTTTGAGTGACCTTGGACAAATTTTTGAATCTATGACTCCATTAAAGAAAAAAACAGGCCAGGCGTTGGCAGCTTATGTCTGTAATCCTAGCTATTTAGGAGGCTGGGATCCAGGTTCAGAAACAGCCTGGGCTGGAAAGTCGGTGAGACTCATCTCCAGAAACCACCAGAAAACCTCAAGTGGAGCTATGGGTCCAAGAGGTAAAGTGCTAGCCTTGAGCAAAAGAGCTGAGGGGCAGTGCTCAGGCCCTGAGTTCAAGCCCCATTACAATAAATAAATAAATAAACCAACAAATAAATAGCTGTAAAAAACACACACATACACACACACAATGATTCTGGTTCTGAGGAATCAATAAGAAAAAAGATACAAAGCACTCAGCACAGGCCTTAATACATGACAACTGTTATCATGCTTATTAATTTTGCCCTTTTGTTTTGG